AACCAGTCGTAATCGTTACAACTGTCAGGATTGACTGGATATTGAAGCTTTGAATTTTTCAAAGCCTGTGTGTAACAGCTAGTGATAGAGTCCAGTTAGCATACTAGGCGGTTGTTCAGCGGAGGGAATCTCCAACGGACATCCGCAACTGGCAAGCCCAGTGGGAAAGTACCCACCCCCTGCGTTCGGAGTAGATAAGACCCACGTAGTTATACAGTAGTTTCCCACAGCGACAGGTGACAACATTGTTGATCCGCATCATCCCTTCCAGTTTCAAATTGAAAGGTCAAAGGAAAAACAACGTTGGAAAGTAGTGCCTACTGGCAGAATCACTAAGATTCTGCAATAGGATCAGCAGCATAATTACGAGTTTGGACATTCCAACTCAGGCAGAATAATTGCCACTAGTCCAATTTGGACGTGTGATTGGACAACCAGGTAGCTCACAGTACCTATGTTCGATCCAGGAACTGAAGGCGGATACCATCTCCGCAGAAACCTTCAGAACCCTTACGCCCAACGTTCTTCATACAGGAACGAAGGGCCACGACAACCTTTTGTCCAGTGGTCACACCGACAACATCGTGTTGTAGGAGGTGAGCTTTCTGCTACCACTCAGGACACCGATACTTCTGAACTTTTGGATTCAGCCGACTCTCAGTCAGTGGCCTCCGTCACAACAGCACTGAAAGACTTGGATTCGTTTAGTCAGAAGTTTACCGGAGAGACAAAATCATCTGTCACTCTGGACAACCTGCGTTCAACATACTCAGCATGGGAAGCCACACACAAGTTGCAAGCAGGTTTTGACAGGCTAACATCCACGGACAAGTTCCATGTTATCATGTCCAGAACTGGTGGCGCAGCCCACGACCTTTGTCTAACACTCTTAACAGAAAAGGAAGAGGACTTAGTCAAACATAATGAATCATTGCAATCCAATTACATCAGGGATAAGACTACCGCTGAACAAGCTATTGTTGCCTGGGATGCCCAGACAGCAGAACAACGCGGCTCGAATGCCAGACCCACTCTGCCACCTGAACCTCCATTGGTTACTGATTTTCTTGGAAATCCGGTTACTGAACTTTGGACTTGTCTATTGCAGGCCTACCCGAAGGATTCCGCCGCCAAGATCCAAGCTTATGGAGACTTCAAGGTTGAAGAGAATGAGTCCATTGCAACCGCTAGTCAGAGGATGTCTAAGTTAGCGTTAGACCTAAAACAACCACAGACACGGGCAGCTGAGAAGCTGCTCAATGCCTTGCCGTGGAATATACAGTCTAAAGTTAGAACTAAGTTACAGTTTCAGTATGAAGATATTAGTACTTGGACAGTAGAATTGTTTAAGATCGGAAGCCGAGAAATTAGAGAAAATCGATTAATCAAAAGAAGCTATTGAATCCTAAGACAATCACTTCACATAGGTCCGCTAGTCCTAGCAATTCTAAGAGTGACCATAAGTATAACACTAAGAAGCCTAAGTGTGCTAATTGTGGACGACTGGGGCATACTGCCTCCAATTGTAGAAGTACTAATAAAACATGTGCTAAAACAGCTCAGAACATCCCAGCTTCATTTCAGCCAGGACCATGTTTTAGATGCGGACAACCGGGCCATCAAGCGGCCCAATGCCCAAATCGGCCCATGACCAATGGTCGAATCAATCAACGCATACCTGGAAAACCATGGTGCACCCATCATAAATTGAATACCCATGATGCATCACAATGCATCGCAATGCATCCGGAATTGGCTAATAAGCCTAGAAACCAAACTACACGGAGTTCCGCGGCACAACACAACCGACGGACATCCAGGGGCATAACCGACCCCAAGTTAAAGAAAGAATTATGGAAAGAATATGAGAAACGTCATTAAATATCTAATCGTATTCCTCACGAAGCTCAAGTCCTGCCAGTCGCAAGGAAATAGAGTCTGAAAATCCCTTGCCCTCACATGTGAAGGAAGCGCGCGTATGCGAAATAAAAAAACTAGATGTAATCGAGCAACTTGAATTTGATCTTACCAATTTGGAAAATAAAATAAGTGATCATATACAAGCAAAGGCAGCCAAACGGGAACATCAAAAACGGAAGTTGTCACCCAAAGCGCCAGCCACCATCACCAAACAACGCGCACGAAAACACACCGAGCGAAAGTATTCCCGAAAACGCACTGAAACTCAATTCCTCAGACGCAATCCCGACATGCCGTTGAGCTTTCGACCGCATGAAGAGATTGAGAAATTTCGTTCCAATGCGAGGGGGAGGGACACACAAATACCGTTAATTATACTGAGAAATCTGACACTTTTCGATCCTTAGAAATCGCAAAAGAAGAAGAGCAACAGTTGCCATATCATGTACCAAAAGACCAGCGCAGAACTGACGCTCAACGTAACAAAGAGGAGGATGAACGACGTGCACGAAGCATTAAAATGACAAAAGAATTGGAGGAGTTGGATAAACTCCCCCCCATCATAACCAATACACATCACAGAAATTACGAATACTGGGAGGATCCGGCTGATTTACAATGGATCGGACGTCCGAGGACACCACCTGCCGATCCAAATCCAACAGTTACAAGAATCCACATCCAGATCATTCCAAACTGTGTTAAAGGCTGACCCACGCGGTTATGATTTTGGGTTTCATACCCTATCACCAGAAGACCAGGCCACTCAAGTGGCCAGACTGGCAACTATGACTCCTAGACCTACGGGGTCAAGTTCGTCACCTCACACTGCCATTGGCTCAGAGTCTGAGTCAGAAAGTTCTGACTCTGGATCAACGGACTGCGCCGAAGGAGCCCGCACTAGTTGTGGTCACTCCAGCTGCAGTCACTGGATGTCCAACAGGATCAGACTCTCTACCCATTCAGTCAGAAAGGGCAGCTCGTGCCAGCCTGACTGAGCTTAACCCATGCACGAACAGCCCTAATGTCACATGTCAAGTCACTTCAAGCGACGAGATATCTGACAATCCAGCATTAAGCCTAGGGAACGTCGACTTTGCAGTCGACCAACAGCCAACCATTGGCTCTGAAAAGATTCTGCATCACATGGAGTCCACCAAGCCTAGTCAGCTCACTAGTCGCGGCTAGGCCTCACTGGATATACTTCCACGGGCATTCAAGGAAAGAGCATTCTACCCAGCCCTTCAAACTTGCTGCAGCTGGCTGACCCATCAGCCACTTTTCTGTTGGACCCCCCAGCAGAGTTGAAGCACAGCCCTGCCCACCAAGTCATCTCCCCGCAACGGCCCCGCACCATGGCAACCACAGCAAACAGCGGGCACCAAGCCCGGGTGGTGCGAGACTTGCGCCCTCAGGGGGAGACGCGCAATGGCCTGACCAAGGAAGTTCCGCAGGATGCAGGAGACGCGGAAGCTGAAGGTGGGCAGGCACCAAACTCTCAAATCAGCAATGCACAGGAAAATGCTAGCATCAGCCAGCAGAAGCCTGTCGTAAACGCGGAAAATGCCATGGGTTCACCATCACAAACGGGTGTCCCAATTGCATTAGCTCTGGCTGCAGACTCGCAAATCATTGATGTCCCTGAGCCAGAGGTTTTATAGAACGTTAGCCAGGGGGAAATTTCAGCTAGCACTAGCACGAAGGGATCTGTTTCAAGTTCCAGCAGGGACTCGGAAGAAACTCCAGACGAGCCCACTGAAACAGAGAGCAATAGCGAGTCATCCGGGTCTGGGGAGCTCTATTCCCCATCGTCACGGGAGAGCAGCCCAGAGGAGTCGGCAGAATTGGGATCCAGCGAATTCACAACGTCAACAGACTCAAAGTCAACCAGCTCCGGGAACTCATGTGACTTGTCCACGTCTGCAGAACCGGAGGATCTCCCGCCCGGGAGCCTTTCCCTGACCTCCCCCCAGTACGAAGCTTTCCGCAAGGAGTGCCTGACGGGCCGGCCCTATGACCCTGCAGACCGCAGGCTGGGCACGGCCATGGACTCCCTCGACCCCTGGAGCCGCACTCATTACATCCACGACACTGCCCTCGAGCCCAAGTTCTGGCGGAGAGCGGAGCAGTACGAGAATGACATCATCCGGTCCTACGTCTGCCTCGCAAACTGCCGCGTCCTTGCCGGCAAGAACAAGCTGAAGGGCATGGCCAAGGTGGACAAGGTCATCGTGGCCTTGGACCGCCACCACTGGCGCATGCAGGACAGGCAGCAGATGGACCGGTGCCTGGCCTGGATTAAGGAGGTGGACCAGGCCCAGGCGGACTACGTCAAGCGGCACAAGGACGATGCGGCCCCCGCCCCCAAGAAGCCCAAGCGGCGCCGCACGCAGCTCAACGTGCTGGAGGAGCTCATTGGCGCCGCGACGGACGTCTCTGGCCCGTCCATCAACGTCAAGGAGCTCGCCGACTTCTACAAGGCGTACAAGGCCATCGCCAAGGCCGCCGACGACACCACTCAGCCGCAGCCCGCCGATGTGCAGAACGCGCCGGCTGCCATCAACCCCGAGGCTGCGGCCCAGAAAACCGCCGCCTCTGATGGTGAGGGGCAGGAGGCGAACGTCCAGGACAACACTGGCCCGGACAACGCCATCCCGGACCTGTCAGGCGCGGACGCAGACCCCGCAAATGACGCCGCCGAGGACCAGACTGCGGGCCTCAACGACTCGCCCACCGGCCCCCGGCAGCGCTCACCGTCTCCCGTCCTTCCTAACCCTGCGCATAACCCGGCCACAGACACGGCCCCTGCGCAGGCATCCCCTTCCCCGGCTGCACAGGCCCTGGCCCACGAGGCCTCTGTGCAGCCACAGGACAACCAGAACCTCGACCTGCACGCTCCTGCACCAGGCGCGCAGCCAACCCCCGTCGCGCAGACCCCGGCCACACCAGCCCCTGCGCAGAACCAGGACCAGCCAGCGGCCACCACGACGCCGCCGGCCCAGGCTCGCACCACTTCCGTGCAGCCTGCTCCCTAGGCTCCGGCGGATCAGCCCCCTAACCAGGCTGATCCCGGAGAGCCTCGGGCCATCCTCCCGCCGCGCCAGCCGGGACCTGACACCCGCATGCGGCCGCAAGGCACGGCAGCCACCACGGAGCTGCCCAAGAGGAAGAAGAAGAACCGCCCCGACCCAGGACCTGACACCCTGGGAGGGCCTGAGCCAATACTCGCGGTTCCCTCGCCACCTCACGAGGCTTCCCCGCAGCCTGCGCCTCCACCATTGCGCAGGGAGCGCAAGCGGGACCGGGCCCAGCCGCCGCCCGCACCCCAGGAGCAGTCTCCTCCGCCGGTCACCGATGCGGAGGCGCTGAACGAGCTCCGGGAGCGCAAGAAGGCGCACCGCCGCCAGCGCCTCACCACCGAGGACGCAGGGGGATCCCTCCCCCTCAAGAAGCAGAAGGGCGGACATTATGTCCGCCAAGACAAGACCCGGCTGCGCAAGCACCCAGAGAAGGGCGGACAGGACGTCCGCCAGACCCTGAAGAAGCTGCGGCGACCTGGACCTGCGAAGACTACCGAGCTGGCCAACATGAACCCTGAGGAAGGCCCTGTCGCCCGTCAACCGCCGGCGCCCGCGTCCCCGGAGAAGTCCTCCAGCGACGGCAACGGCAGCAACAGCAGCGAGCCTCAGGTTCTGGCCCACCGCAGCAAGCCCACCGACCCGTACGACCTGGTAAATGTTGTTGATCAGGAAAGAGTAGCTGCGCAAGATGTCTTCATTGAAAAATCGACAAACTTGCGCACAGCCCATCAAGTCAAAACACCACCCGAACGGGCCTGTGCGCACAGGTCAACATAGAAGAACCCATTCTGTCCGAACCTACATTTTCTGTCGGGTTCACTAGCGCGCAAATAATGCTGTGAACCAACTTCTGGAATTAACGGAAGGAGTGGTGCTAGAGTTCCATTGGACGTCAGCGCACAACCTTCCGTGTGAATCCTTAAAAATGTTGGGACAGGGATTAGACCTTTTGGTTCAGTCCCATTGGCTTCTCGAACCAGAACCTTTGGTTTACAACTTTCTTAAATCAAAGCCAGGAGCAGAACTCACTTTGGAGTTCCAAAATGCTTGGCAGACTGTGGCCCTGTTTATGAGACTGTGCCTGGCGTCACAATTTTTACATGCCACTGCGTCAGGTGTCTACCGTCACTACACTTGGTGCGAAATTAAACAGCCCACAGCCATCCGGCACATGATTTACGCTCCCCCGTTGGCTTTCTGTGATTTGCCTGTGGAACAAGCCAATTTGGCTCACACACATGCGAAATCACTACAATATGCTCTGCGCCCAGGTAGCTCTTTCACCATGGACAAATTAACATATACTAATCACGCAGACAGACTAGCGGGATTTCACCACGCACCCAGAATTGACAACTCTGGACCCAACCCAGCCTTTTTGATCAACGGCGTGGCTTTGGAGTGGTTGATAATCGACACTGGCTGCGAGAGTGTTATCATTTCCAATTGGACAGCCAAAAAGTTAGGAATTAACGCAGAGATGCACCAGCGCAAAGCAATTAGTTTGATTACTGCAGATGCGGTCACGACGGCACCAGTGGACAGAAACTGGGACACAGCCGAGATCTCTATCAATCCAGGCACGTCTGCGGCCACAACAGTGCAAGTCAAGATAACTATAGTTCCATCGCAGACACGTGAAACTTTAATTGGCATGAGCGTTATTGGGCGGATTGGACTCACGTCCAATCCATACACTCAAACTCTCACGTATTATTACAGGTGGTGGGAAGAGAACGCTCCATCCGCAGAGCTGCCAGCCATTTTTAACGTTGATCTCATCAACTCAGGGCTCAGCTTCGCAACCAGTTCACGAATTAATAAAGTAATGCAGCGCGAGTGACGGGCCCACGAGCCTCCAGACCGCCATTGGCTTTCCAGCACCTGTGTACAGGACCTGTCCCGGCGCCGCAGGCGGCGCATGACGAGCGAGCCGTCCGGCTTCAGTTAGAATTTCGGGATCAGTTAGACACCCAGAGCGTCATAGCTAGCTTTCAGCGTAGCATACGCAGCCTCACAGAGCCGCCGGAGCCGGCAATTCTGTTAGCATCTAGACACGGATCTCCATTGCTCAAAAAAAGAATCTTTTTTTAACCTTTTCGCTGGATCCAAATTTTGTGGACATCCATAAACAAACAGCTGTAAACAACCTAGGCATAGTGGTCATTGAACTCTGTTCTGGACTGTGCGCGGCAACTGAAGCGCTTGTCCGCGCAGGTGTAAAGATTCGCAAAATATATGCCTGTGAAATTGACGAAACCTGTCGGCAAGTGGCAACCCAACGATTGGTTATACTCAGCCAATTGTTTCCACATCTGATAACAATGGATGCTATCGCCAATTGTCACAACCCATTACCACACGATATAGCGGACATTACCGCGCAGCATATAGCTGTCTTGGAACCTCCAGACATTATAGTTGCCGGATTTCCGTGCCAGGGATTCTCATCCGCAGCCACGAAGCCCCTTGGGCTCCGCGATACACGGACAAGTCTTTTCTATACATGCGTAGAGATAATACATTGGGTCTATAACCAACATGGCCCATGTGTAGGGTTATTTGAAAATGTCGACGCGACAGACCACCGCGACTCACAAATTGCGCATGAATATAACCACATCGTAAAAAGCATCCTAGGCCACGGTGTGGCCTTTGATGCAGTGGCCGTCGGCTCGTATGCACATCGACACGGTCGATTCTGGACAAATGGCATACCAGCCGCGCTAGTAGGACACATGGTCACACATACGTTTGAAAACTGTGTGCCCACACAATCAGTGAGCGACATCATTGAGCCACAACATGAAGCAAAACTCGCGGGACACGAGTCGGTGCCAGGAAATTATGTTGTAAATGAGATCGGCAAGCCACTTCGCGCGTTCTCAACTTTCGTTACCGTACGAGGATCACATGCCTACCGCAACAATGGGCATAGCCTTCTCCTTAACACGGAGACGGGCCAACTTGAGGAACCGAATGCTAACGAGAGAGAGGCCGCCATGGGCTTCATGGTGGGAACAACTAAGCACGAAGCAGCTTCGGAGGCGGATCGCATGAGAATGCTTGGAGGAACAATGGACATGTTCCAGATAAAGTTCATTATGAGC